GTGAAGGGTAGCATCTTGTTGCTTGGCTACAATAATAGCATCCAGTGCAGGTGAAAAGGGCAGCATCATCTCCAAATCGAATTCAGAAAACTTCTTTTCCCATCAGCGGCTCCCGCCTTTCTTGACGTGAATCCCCCAGCGCCTCAGCCGGAGCGTTTTCATGAGTGGTCTTCCCTAGTGTTGATCTTTACTTGGTTGGAACACAGCTTGCGTTTGGTCTTTTAAACAACAATGTCATCCAGTCGTCGTGCCTTCCTGCCCCATTCTTGATGCCTTCCTCATTCTAGACTTCGGGCCGGGGTGTTTTCTTGGCTTCACTGCTTTGAACCGACACCGGTGACGCTCAGAGCGCCACAGGGGTGACTTCACATAGGTGCCGATGACCTCTGTGACTTCGGCTCCAACGGCTGGGCTCCGCGGCATGAACTAGAAACATGTGCATTACTACCAGGAACAAGAAGCTTGAAGCTACAAGCAATGGGCATTAGTAGTAGCAAGTAGCAAGGGCATCGCTAGTAGCTAGAAACTATCCACCTACCCAAACGTGACCCTGCACCCGAACCTAAGGAGGGCTCGGACCCAAAGTCTTGGGAGGGTCTGGGAGTGTCTGGGGTCTCACAAATCCTGTGAACGGAGCATCTGGGGAGATCCCAAAAATGACCTCTGTTTTGCTAGGACAAGACCATGGCTCCAAAGCAGGGGGTCACTCTGATTCTAGGCAGTTTGTGGGTTTCCAAAGTATATAGATGGATTCAGGATTCCCAAGATGTTTCAAAGGAAGAGCGCGTTCTATGAGGGCGTATAGCCAATATCCCCGCAACAAGCTTGGTTGGACAAGCTGTTTGGATCCTTGAGATGGTACACATCAGGAATTGTATCAGCAAACAATGGCAAACACTAACGCCATTTTGCAACGGGATTGGAAGCCCATGAGCGCTCATAGCCCTGGTCATTCAGGTTCTAGAATCTAGAATATTTCAGCGGAGGGGCTTGCAACCTAGGTGCAACCATCAGAACCTCCACAACCTGTTTTCTATCAATCATGTCAAACATTGCACCCAATTGAATTCATTGCCCATTAACCAGCATATACCAGTCTCATGCGAAAACTCCCCCAAAAGAAGATTCGACATCACTCAGAAAGCATCATCATCCAAAGCCATGCACAATGGAAGCAAACACCCATCATCTTTCAAACCCAAAACCAGCACCATCCCATCTCCTTCTGCTCACCCCTCCTCCCAAGCCATCCCATCCTCCTCCCTTGGCGTCCCGGACTCGGCTCTGGGAGCCCTGCGCGATCCGCGCGACGGCGCCTTCCGAGAGCATCACGGCCACGTCCACCTCGAGCCGGTCCGTCCGAGGCGCCGGTTGGAGCCGAAAACGAAACACACCCTTCCACGCATGGTATTGACCCCACTGTCATGTCGTAGTGACCTTACTGGAACGAAGTAACCCCACTGGAATGTCGTGACCCCCACTGTCATGTCAGTGACTGCACCGCAGTGAAAACCAGCCGTGGAAGGGAGGTGACGTGCTTAAAAGGAACATCTGCTTTAGCCATCCAAAGCTCGCACCCGCCTAGACGCCCCCGCACCCCCCTCCGATGCACCCTGAGCGGACTAACATGGGAGTGGATGCCATGGTCCCTTATGAACAGGGGTCTTTGCGCTTCCATGTCAGTGAGTCGGGCAATACAGGGCTGTCCCCAAACTGGTTCACGAATCGCTGATTGAGGGGCACCCTTGACATGGGACAACGATGTGGCGAGCCCTTTTGGCTCATGGTTCGCTACCAAAAGCTTTGGCATGCTGGCACATGCCTTGTGCGGGTGTTCTTGCAGGTGGATGGGGTCATTGTCTGGTCTGATCTAGTAGATGCCCTACTGCTGCAGTTGTTGGCGCTGAGTCTAATGATGTTTTCAGAGCTCCCCAACTACATCTGGCCAGTGAGGCTCAGCTTGGACAAGCTATCGTAATCACAATGAGAACTCTTTTAAAACATGTGTCGATTGACTGGTTCCAACATCTTGCAAACTATGGCAATTGTTTCACCCTAAGAATCCGGGCCCGAAGCAACACATAGGGTTTTGAGGGTCCGGACCCCTGCTATGGAGGGTCCGACCCTTGCCATGGAGGCCCAAGGATTCATAGGGCAAGGGCAGCTGAAAATCAATCCCCATGCAAACATGTCCGGAAAAATCGCTTGAAGCCATTCTTGTGAAGCCTGCTGCTTGCCTTGGGTTTACTACTTCCAGTACTCCTCTGAGAGGTCCTGGCTCATATCCCAACACTACTTTTTTTTGGGCAAACATGGGCAAACACTTAGCTTTTTGATGCTTTTGGCCAAAAGCCTTGAGGAGTCCATGCATATTTGCGTGCTTCAGACCCTGGCGCTTGAAACCAACGTCGCCTCTCCGTCCGTGTCCGTCCATGCACCTGCTCAGAGTCCAGCTTCTGCCCCATGGCACCAGTGCCCTGAGGAGTCATGTCCCACCTCGGAGTCCACGAGGCGTCCGGGCGAAGCCACTGACCGGGGGCCAAATGGGCCCAAGTACAAATGTGCCCAGTGGAAGTGGAAATGGCCCAATCTCCCTTAGAACATCTAGAAAAAAAAGCCACTGGAACCGATTGTGCCGATGTTAGTTTAGACTCACGTATCATATAGACAGAAGTAGACTCATCTGACCTGCATCCGTGTCTACCCGGTCTACCGGTCCAACGTCCTCAAACCGGTCTGCAAGCTCCGTCCTCTGCGGCTTTCTCGCCGACTGAAGATGGATGAATCGGCCGTGAACATGCTGGCAGTAGGCATTCCGAAAGTCATTCTGAAAGTATCAATGATAGACCAACTGACCAACACAAAACCGCTTGGGCGAATTCGTTCAGAACAGTTCTGCTCTGCTCCCATGAAAAAAAAAGACCCATGAGGCCCGCGTGCCCGGAAGCCCGAACCGGCAGCCCAAAAGAAGCGCCGGATTAAACATTGCCATGGCCACTGGAAGTCGATTCCACGAGCCGCAAAGAGACGCCTCTCCTGGTACCGCCGGTTTCGGTGTCTTTTTCCGCCGAAACGAAAACGGCGGGGGCGAGAACACCCAAAAAGAAAAGACACACACATTTTGCGTGTTTCAATTCTTTTTGGGAGGTGCCATCATCTTTGCGGTGGCTCAAAGAACAGTTCATGATGAACAAGGCCATCCGTCAGTCAACGGCGAATCCTTTAAGGGATGATCCTGGTGACTGGTACAACTGTTCCCTGTATATCCCTGTATATCCTTGTAACTATGCTGTATACACTTGCTCACAACTCTTACCAGGTAAACATGAAACATGTTGCTCCCAAAGAATGATTGTATTGTACATCCTCGATGATGCTTGCTGCATCTTGTTGCCATCCGGATTGAGCTATGGTCACTTGCATCACCAATAGCATTCAATAGCACAAAAATCCTGAATTCCAGCAATGTGATGTATATATGTGCAGAGCGCGGCTTCTCTTTGACCTGCCTCCAAAAATGACTAAAGATTGATCTTCTAGAATCTTTTCTCAGCTATGTGCGACCCCCGATTCTTGGTGGCAGTTGTCGACCAACACATGATGGAACACCCGTCCTTCGCCAGGTGGAAAGGAGCATTGAAATGCTCAGGTACACCAGCCTCGTGTCAATCACGCTTACGATTGACAGGACAATGATGACGACGACGACATAAATGCTGGACAAATTTCTCATGCCGGTGTTTTTTCCAACCATCTCCGTGGAGAACCTCCACTCTGATGTGCTCACCCAAAGGCTTTTCGGGTTTTTTGGTGGTTCACAAGGATCTACTGTCCACTGCCTCTGCTGGGTCAAAAGGAAAACAGGAACTTTGCAACATACGAACCAGCAGGAAGTAGATGTCTTGTCAGGAGGTCTCTTCAATCTTGTCATGGTATTTCGATTTCCGGTGCCCCCCACCAACATCGAAGGCGGCGCCGGACTCGTGAAACGCGTGGTGTGGCCGTTTGTTTTCGTTGATCCCAGATGCCACTCTCAGTGTCTTCAGCTCCCCAAAGTTCGGCCGCACGCTTAAGCGGCTCAAGAGGCGTCGGGACGCGCGGAGCGCCATGGCAACCCAAAACGTGGAGGTTGAGTGGTACCCCTTTCATCCCCTTTTGAAACATGCTGTAATCCACCTCAGTGTAACAAATGTTTCAATAATTTTATAATCATGTTGCAAATCCACCTCACTGTTATCTTTTGAGAAATTACACAATGGCAGATCGTAGAGATGATGACAAATTTGTGCTAGTGTCTTTGATTTCAGCCTCCTTCGACGTTAGTGATATAAATACGGGTTTCTACATCCCTGGTAGTTATGGACCTTGTTGTCTTGTTTTACATCAGCTAAGGAGGTTTCTGCCTCCGCCCTGCCATCGCATGTGGCTGGTGTGTTCTGCCCAAACGCTGCGGCCGAGAGCCGAGAGCCTTCGGTGCGTCACACCGGTCGCACCAGGCGTCGGGTATGACTCAACTCGACGGCCGTACTCGACAGCACAAACAAACCATTCATTGAAATCCAGTTGATATAAGCATCCAGTTGCTATGCATGGTGATTGATGCTGATTCATAGCATAATATACGTACACTGAGACGGACTGAGACTATGTGATGATTATGTACATATTGTGAACATGATGAATATATGTTACATGTGTATATATGATGATGCTTGGAGTTTGCTTTCCAACCCATAGGCAGGCTCTTCCTGCTCTTGTGCACTCCTTCAGGTTTTGGGGGGGCTCAGCATTCCCTCGAAGTACATTTGGTCTTCTCATTGCCACGTGCACCGGTGCATGATGCTGCCAGTGGGATGACTTGGACCTACACAAGGTCCAAAAACATGAATGGACATGATAGGGTTCTTGGATGTTCTTGGAAGGAATATGGATGCTTTACACTTGCTCCCACACTTCTCCACAGTCTCTTCAGCAAGACCGTCCGCGACTCTTAGCTGCGCCTGGATCGACTTCAGAGCCTCGCGCGGTCTGGTGATCGACTTCACTGCGCAAAGGAAGAACCCCGTGTCGATCTCTTCGGCACGACCCGAGTTGTGTAGGGAATCAGCAACGCAGGATGAATTCACATTCTAAAAAGGAGCTCCTGCTCCAAGCCCCCACCCCGCAAGTCGAGGCTTCTGTGAAAGTGGAAGTCTCAAAATGTACGAGTAACACACAACTGCAGTAAGATTGATTTACGGTGACAAGAAGTACTCCCATATCAACCGTCAAAAAGAGGATGCCCTATAAAAAAGTAGCAGTCTGAGTAAAGGAGTTCCTTTCCACATGGAGTACTCAAAAGGCATCCAGACCCCGAAAACCAACATGGACCCGGGTCGAATGGTGCCCTGAAAGACTGTTGCAAAGACATGCAAAGCTTTCAGAGTCCACGGAAGTCTTCAGCGGGGTCACCTCCATCACGCTGATCACCACGTCCAGACGGATCCGTTCCGTCGATCGATCAGCGGTGGCGTTCGGCTTTTCTGCGATCAAACGGCTCCAGTCTGAGCGGGAAAAAACTGGCTGGCAGAAGACCAGAAAACTCGGGACGTCAAAGCAGTGAGGAAAAAAAGTCCGTTGCGAAAACCTGTGATTTCATGTGATTTGGCAATGATGTTTTGGCCCTTTCGGGGATGATCTGGCAATGAAATGATGTTTTTCCTTGATGAGCTTCCTAGTCACTCTTGTCAAACAGGGGGCCAGCTGATGGTTGTTCGATGTTATTTGGTTTGCATGGACAATCCTCACTGCTGAAGATAACGTGCAGCACCATTGAACTCCTGCGGTAAATTGAAGTCGTCCAACCAGCAGGCCAATGGGTGGTGTTACACGTGCCCCTTCAAGCTTCGTTGGGTAAAAGTGAGCACTCAAAAAAGAAGCAAAAACATTTTCAAGTGTCTCGTCATGTCTCCTCGCTTGTCGCATCCACAGAGAAACATGGTTGACACAAAGACAACTCGATGAAAGCGCTTCAGCTCCTATCAAGGGTGTTCTAGTTGTTCTTCGTCTCACCGTGGCACCCTCTCAATTGTTGTCATCGGAGTTTGTTCAACAAAAGCTTGGAAATGCCGAGGATGCCGAGGATGGCAGATGTAGAAAAAACGAAGAACTCGAATAGCATTCATCTCGTGCTCGTACCGCACAGGTGGCAAACACTGGTTATGAGGGATCTCGTCCTCTGGTGGCTCCCATGACTGGAAACTTCCAAGTTTGGAATCGTCAAACTCCACTTGGTCTTGTTCCGAAATCTGCAATTTGACCTGGAAAGCCAAGAGTTTGTGTCTTCGGGATCTTGCGTGACATTCCTCTGCATCTGTCAGCTCTTTCGTTTCAGCTTGTAAAGCTACAGGTCCCTCTGCAGTTTGCAACTGAGGTCGGTGGGGCAAGGCGCCACGAGCTTCATCAGTTGGCACCTTTGAACGACTCACAGTCTCCACACTAGCTGCGCTACCCATCAGTGCCCATGAGCGCATCGAAAATCGGTCTCTTCCCACCATGAGCATCGGTAGTTTGAGCAAATCCATGTCACGGTGAAGCACCTCAATAAATTTTCAAGGAAAAGCCCAAGCTGTCATGAAGACATCGGATCATGCTTGATTCTGCTTGATGCTCAAGAAAGAGAACATGAGCTGATGCGCTGCTACTCTTCACACCCCCAGACCACGCACCATCCCGCACTTCCGATTCTTGACTCCTTGCAGTCTGCCAGAATGAACAGGAACTCTTCCACTTGAAGGACTTAAAGATGGTTGGAAGAGTTGGAAGAACATTCACCAACAACATTTTGAAGGCATTACATTCCACACAGTTTTCTGGTGTTTTCTGGCCGCACAATCTCTTTTTGCGAGCTGCCCACTCTGCGGTGCAGTGAAGGCTGGGGAGACGTTTAGTCCATCCGGCGATTGAAGGTGGGTCTGGCCCCAAAAATTGGAGATCTGCAGCATCCCAAGCGAAGTTCTTCCCCATAGAGCAACAAATAGTACAGTGAAGAGTTCGCATGTACAACCTGACTAAAACAGCTGTTCTTCTAAGTTCTTTTTTGTATGTTGTCAGTCTTTTTTTTTGAGCCGAACCCAGGTAGCGGAGAAATAACATACATCGCACGCACCTGCCCCAACAAAATCCCTGTCGGCATTATACCTATATAGCCTGTATAGGATTTAACAAGACAATTGGTCGGGCCTTGCGAAAAGCTGGCCCAGCATGACGGCATTTCAGTCCACCGTGCAGTAGGCCACCCAGTGTGATGTGACACCCTGGTGACTCTACTCCATCGCTGTGGATGCGAAGTTATGCCCAAAGTCACTCACCTGCACAGCCACCAAACTCATTCACCTCTTCATCGGAGTCTGAGGCTCTGCCAATGATCGCCCGGAAATGCCGAGGATGCCTCCTGGCGGATGTAGAAAAAACGAAGAACTCGAATAACATTGATCTCGTGCTCGTACCGCCCAGGTGGCAAACGCTGGTTATGAGGGATCTCGCCCTCTGGTGGCTCCCATGACTGGAAGCTTCCAAGTTTGGAATCGTCAAACTCCACTTGGTCTTGTTCCGAAATCTGCAATTTGACCTGCGAAGCCTCAAGGACGCGGCGTTGATGTGTATGACTCTCCTGGTCATGCCTTGCATCTGTGGGCTGCGTGCCCTTGGCAGATCGTAAGGCTGGAAGCCCTTCATTCAACTGATGTTGGTGGGACACATTAGGCAACATGTCTGATGCAACTGGAGCTTCATCAGTGGGCATCACCTTTGAAAAGCTCACAGTCTGTACACTAGCTGCACAACCCATTGGTGTAAACTAGCGAATCGCAAGTCGCAACTCTCTCCCAACCATACATGAGAAACTGCCGGAGTTTGAGCAAAGCAATGGGGCACCGAAACTCTTCAAGCATGCATTTGTCCGATTTAAATCAAAGTCTCGGCAGGGAATCTTTCGTTAGATCATTCAATTCCGCTGAATAGAATTGCAAAAGAAGAGTTATTCCATCCCACACTACGATGATCAGGATCAAACCTCTTATTCACCTTTCGCTCTTTTTAGGCTCCATCTGCTCCTTCGGGTTTGTGCGAATTCGGACTCGTCCTCCTGCCAACTGGAGGTTTGTGCAACTGAAGGTGGAATTGAATGGAACAGGACCGACCCATGCAGTGGAAGCGAGTGTACGATGGGAACCCCCTGGTAGTCCCCCCAGAAACACCTCGGAACCAGAATTCAGCCAACTTGGTCATGGTGGTTCCACTCTTCTCAAGCAGTAATTGGGGGTTCCATTGATAGGACCTATCCCGTGTTCCCTGCGGTAGGCGGGTTCTTGACTAAGCAAGTGTTGTTTGTTCTGTTGCAGGCCGCCTTGTGATCTTCTGTAGAGGATGGCTCCGCAAATGCCTGAGGGATACTCCGCAGTCCAAAATTCTTCAGGGCTCTGGTTGAGGTAGACAGGAATTGGTGCTTCCCTTTGGCTGGCCGTGTCCAGTCTGCCTGTTTTGGAAGGGACCTGCCTCCTAACACCTGGTCTTTGACTTTCACTAGCTTAATCCTAAGCATCATTTCTTCTTGAAGTAGAATCTCCCTACACATCAGGTCACATGTCGCTGACAAATATGCATTTACCATTTCTCCCTTATATTCCCTAGGTCGCGGTCTGCCATGTTTTGGAAAACACTGGGGCATGATTGCAATATGGTACATTTCTATAGTAGTAAAAAGGATGTGCGATTATGGATTGAGCGACTATTGAAACAAAAATATATCGGTTATCAAGGATTGTGACGAGGTCATGGTGTTGGACATGTGTTGGACATCAGATTTTCGAGAAGAGGCTCGCATGGTTTTGGATGGTGAATGTATTCGAGTTTCTTGCTGAAATGCTGTTCATGAGAAGACGCTCCCCACAAGTGGCAGTGGCACATGATGTTGATGTTCAAAGAGGATTTGGGAGTCCATGTGGGCACGGATAAAAGTAAGTGGTGCGGAAATCAACCATTTGTGATGGAATGTTCACATGTCGTCTAGCCTTTTTAAGGCTAAAGAAAAGCTTAAGCTTATCAAGGAGTTTGCACCAAGTAGTTCGGACACAAAGGACTTCTGCGTCACACTGACAGCCCTCTCACTTATTGGGGCAGTTCTCTTCATCCTTTCAAGGATCCCACCTGCCTCAAGCGGCCTGCGATCTTTGGCCATGCACTTCTCCACGTAGCTGATATAGCCTGTCAGGGCCAAGCCATCCACATAGCTTGTACAGCTTTGGCCACCAACTACGTTTATCATGGTTTCTATGGCATTCACTTTTTGGAAAGACTCGTTAGCATCCGTTGCTTACAATAATGCCTATGCCTAACAGTAGACTACCCGCAAACCATCACCTCTTTTGCCCATCATACATCTCAATCTTTGTAGAATGGAGTCGATGACCATAAAATGATCCTGTCCATGTGCACTCACTGGTTGACTGCAGCGGTCAGCGGTCTGACCCGATCATCTGAGGCCGCCTCGATGTGGCCGCGCGTCGAAGACTGGATCGCGCTCCTGCACCGCACGGTAGAGCCGCCGGCGGAGGCCTCGGAAAGTGCTCCAGTGGCACGATTTGACCGGCGGAAAAGCTTCCGTGATCATGTGGATTCTCAAGAATTGTTCTGCAAGAGATTGTAATACGAGGAATATATGTTTTGCATCGGCTCATTCAACTATTGACCATTTCGGCGTTTTTGACCTCTCTGCCGTCGGGGGTTTCCGTGCAAACTCCTTGCTTTTTCTTCGTGTCTTCCTGGTGCTACAATACTGGTAAAGGAGACACACAGTGCACCTTTGAAGAGAATGTTGGTCTCAAAAAGGTTCACTTTCCATATCAATCTATATCTTTAAGCGGTGACGCAGCAGGTTAGTTAGTATGCACAATCAGCGGAATTCAAACATACGGGATGTTCATTTCATCTGATCCCACAATTTAGATGCCTTAGAAACATTCAAACCAAACATCCAAGCAGGAAAAACTATTAGGATTCAATATCCTGCGCCACCTCGAACAACCCTGTCACACCGGCATCGTGTGCGTTTTTTCATGGTTATTCCAGACCTCAGCTGGTTTTGCAAACCTCTTGTGTCAACAGAGAGGCATTTCAAAGTGCAAGCAAAGCAAAGAAGAGACACACACATCATTGATTTGCGGACACTATCACTATGATCCTCACAAAAGGCACCCAAACCAAACATCAGTTCAGCAAACATCCAAGAGGCGTTCGCGCAGTTGGATCTGCACTTCCGAAAGCGCCTCTGGCACTCCCTTTCGAGTCGCGGCCTGGATCCAAACGAGTTGGGATCGACCCCGAAAGGATCGACCGCATCACTTCGATCCACAGCCAGACACGATCAGTTGACCGACTGTATGTAGGCCGATCAGTTGACCCCGGTCCTTCAACCACCCCAATGTATGTATACATCCCATTCGTCGTGTCTGGGACATAGCCACAGGCCCGGGCCGACGTGGGACCAGCGACCGATCGGGCACGACCGGGACCAGCGACCCGTGTCGTTCGTTCCGAACATGGTGGGTCACCTGTGGGTTTGGTTCGACCCGGGGCCCGTCTCGGGTTTCCTCCCTGTTTAAAACACACTCGTATAAAGCTACAGGTGAGTTTTGACCTCATTTTACTGGAGTTGGTCATACAAACAGACTACTCAATCAAATAAAGGGTCAAGTTCTACTAGCTCTTTGGACCTGCAGGGTATGAACACAAACCAATCATACTATTCTTGCCACAATTCCACTGGGAAGCTGCGAGGTTTTGGCCACACACAGACCTGGCATGGAGAAACCTGACCACCCCGCGGTGACCACCCCGATGACCAGGATGGAATGGAGGTGGCATGGAGGTGCTTCTCCAAAGCCTCCAGCATGGACAGTTCGCTCACATTCTTCATCTCAGGGATACGCTCAATCCTCGGATCGGCAGTCCCTGCACTCGGCCTGATGGACTCCATGGACTCCATGTCGGTTTTCGAAACCTACACACCGTTTGGTGTGAATGGCATGTTATATTTACATAATATTACATAATTATATCATTATATACCCTATTTATGGTTGTTGTTATTGTAATCATTAGTATGTTTGTTTTTAGCCATATTAACCCATAATACGCAAACATGTTGTCTCATCATAACACATTGTTTTTTACAATTGGATTCCAAACACAACTCAACACACTCCGAGCACCAAGCAACGCTCCCTTCGCAGCTTCCGCCACAGCGGACGCCTAGCGCTCGGGTCAGGAGTGTTGGAACGTGGTATTTACTTGATATTGTTCAACTAAAGTACCTTCCCAAAGGATGTGGCGCCGCAGGAACTTTCTTGACACATCATGTACTTTTTATACATAGAATCATACAAGCCGCTCTTTAGCTAAAATCTTTTCTGCCGGTTCGGATTGGGGCAATGATCAATTTGCAAAATGGATCGTTCATGATCATCGCCCTTTGCAGGGGGAATCAGCCCTTTCCTTGAAACGTGTAGAACACTTCTAGATCTGTGCTTCACACGACCCACCAGGCCCGCCGTTCGAACGGCGCCCCTCACCCGTCACCTTGTAGCCCACATTCTCGAAAAAAACACTGCCATCCGGGTGAAATTCATGACACATATTGGAAAATCACCCATTCACCATCATTCACCTCCTGTCTCTATTCTTGGCCACAAAAACCCGCCGCACACCGTCCGGGCCGGTCCCGGTCCGGCCTGTGGCTCTGACAACGCTTTGGCCGCCTGCGTCGTGTGGCGGGACAACACGAGGCGCGGTGGGTAGGATACTTCTGTTGGATTTATTTGGTAGATTACATAGAAATGATGCATGAACTCTGGGTGTTATCATGTCTAGCAGTCACTGGTCAGACCTACACCTTTCCCAAAGAGTTTCCATGTCCAGATTGCCATGTCCAGCACGACGTGTCACCCATGTCTGACGTTCTGCATGAGTCCAACCTGTAAAAGGGCCACCAGGGCTTGTGGGTCCTGAGCACGGGCTGCAAAAATGGGCCAGCATGGCCCCTACGCCACTAGCATGCGCTCTAAAACGGGTGGAGGGTATCAGGATGCCGGGTATCACCAATCCACGTGTTTGGTCCACATATGTCCACATATATATCTAAAGTATGTTTATAGTTGATATAATATACACATATTACATCATATTACAGCACAAAGCGTTGAGCAAAAGGAACCACTTCTGTGCATCACCCAAACATGGATCTGACACTGCATCCTTTCGGTTGAATTTATATACCTTTAGGGTGGCTGGACCTGGACAAGACTCCCCCAAATCTCCTCACCATAAAAGGTATAACATGGTGCAGCACTTCTTCTTTTCGCAAGCGAACAGGTCATATTCGTGATCCACCAGGGATTCTCTCGGACGTCTCCCAACTCTGATCTGGCAACTGACGGACATCTGTCGGACTAGCTTTGGTTTAAATAAAGACATTCCCAGAATTGGTTTAAGGGTAAAATCTGCAGGACATTGATATATATATATATATATAATATAGTTAGAACCTAAGTCCAAGTACCCTGCAAACCTTGCGAGATATCATTGTGTAGCACCGCTAGGATTTCTCCAAAGAAATAACATGAAATAACATCCCCTAACCCTGGCTCTACTGTTGACGATGTTGACACTAGAGGCCGAAAGAATCTCCCTATGTCCCTTGGATGAGCCTCCCAAGGACGTCCTGCATCACCTACGGACTTTGCATCGCAAAGGAAACCATCGAGAAAACCGCCAAATCCCAAGGACTGCGTCCTGCATCTTCGTTGCATTCTGTGCAGCCGCCTGTAAAACGCTCCGAGCCGCGCAAAGAAGCAGATGAGACGCGGCCTTGAGGGCTAGTGATAACCAATACCAGAACTATTATGGTGGATAACAATAGATGATACCTATATTCCTGTGCCTGTGTATATAATTGCAAACACGCCTCCGGGCTCATCTCAACCTGGGAGTATTGTCAAGGAAGATCTTTGCAATTCTTCGGCCCGGCAACACCGTGGCGCCAGCAACACCTCATCGACCATCGACCGCGCACACGTTGTTTCGTCGCGTGCGTCGCGTGACCATCCGGTGGCGCCTGCGACACATCACCCGGTGACCGGAAGAGTAGCTGAACCTACGACCGGGCCACCGATCTCATGCAGCGACCAGGCGACATCGGGATGTTGGAAAATGGATGAGCCGGGGATCCTGAATGCTCAAGCCTGGGCAAGAATTGGGGCATTGGTGTTGCAGTACTGACCTACCTCTCAAGAGACTGAAGGTGTGCTGGCGCCAGGAGGGTTGCTCAATTTAACATCCTGTACATGGTCAGCTGTCAGTTCAGACCATATGTCACGCCAGCAACCCCAGAGGCAAGATCGGCTGACTTCGCGTCGCACGCTCGTCCGTGCCTCCTTGGATGTCGCTTCTTCCCAAGGCCTTGAGGATGGCTGGGGGGGAAGTGGGAAGAATTCTTTCAACAATTTCAGGTTCCATGACTGCACGGACAACGGTCCTGGCTGCAACTCCTTGGCTGTCACAACTATTTTTGACCAGCAACGAAAATGGCTAGAACGACAACGACTCTGACAACGACAACACAACAGGGCATAAAGACTTGAAATCACCAGCACATCTTCACAACCCACTGAAGTGTTCTCTGTGTTCCAAAACTGCAATCCATAGTCCACACATTTCCACAGACTCTAAAACTTCGTCCTCTGATTATACCCATTCTGGGTTCCTCACCTCTTATCACCGCCAGGGGGCACAAACTCTGAGTTCGCTGCATAGCATTCAAACAACTTGAAGCCAAGTCTTGGAAGGATTTGCAGACCTCGCCCGTTTCCTGACACCGAGATGTTTGAGGCGAGATGGATGGTCACACCCATCGACTCAGGTTTCCCTCTTGAAAGGGCTCAAGAGCACGAAGCAGGCAACAACCACAGTGATATTTTTTGGTGGTAAACTACTCCGTGCTCACCAACACATGAAGCTAGCTCATCCAAATAACAATGAGGCCCTGTGTCAGATTACAGCATCTGGATTACAATTGGATCACCCCGACCATCTCAAATGATCAAACTCTCACTCCTGTTCGGCAGGCTCCGGTTTGAATTCTGGTTCCATGAAGCCATCAAACGTCAAGGTAGGGGGAAAAACGCCAAGTGATGTCTCAGGTTTCCTTCCACGGAGGCCATCGGAAACCGCCTTTCCATGTCCAAATTGGAGGTGGACTGTGTTTCTATGTGATTCTGTTTGTTGGGGACCCAAAGGTTGAAGAAACTGTGCCCATCGACATGTGTCGACAATACTTGAGCGGAAAAAATGGTTCCACGATCACGATCGTAGCTTCAAATCACAGTAATTCTAAGCACTGGCTTTCAGGTACACAACATGTAATCATGGGTTTATATCGTTGTATGTTGTGCATTCCTTTGTCTGCTGCATTCTTACCTACAGAACCAAACGTTTCCAAATGCGAAACTGAAAGTAGCAGTCCTGCTGCACCCAGAAAAATTAAAGATATGATTGGCAAATTTGCTAGGATTCTTCTCTTGGTTGGTACATACACTCGCCTTGCCACTCTCTCTCTCTCTCGGTCTCTCTCTCTCTCTCTTTCTCTTCCAAAGTTTTGTAGGTCAAGGTCTCCCTTTGGGGAGTCCTGTTCTCTTTGCGCTTGGAAAATTCTCTTCAAACGGTGGTCAGCAAAGAAAGAATTCTTCCATGCAACTTCTAGAGTGTCAACTCTGTCTCTGGTTGCAATCAGCAAAAACTCGGTTAAACAAAGGTGGAGATACATTGGCACCCTCCTGGTAGGGTTTTGCGTCCACAGAATAGTTTCCTGAAATCTTCATGAAATCAGCATAGAGCAAATTGGATTCTAGCTCTGGGTACGGACATGTTTGACGTCTTTTTAGTCTTGCTTCAACCCAGCCGGCCAGATCTGTGCACACGAGTCCGCCCCAACATTTCTGTCTAAAGAGACGCAGAGTTCAGCTGATCGACGCTGGGGCACAGTGTCAGACCACAGTTGCAACGCTCCAATCTCAGGGACCTTCGCTTGCCTCGGCAGTTTGCTCAACGACATCGGTGAGGAAAAGGAAGAAGGGGAAGGTCATCTGCGCCTGGCGCTTTGCTGCAGAAGACTTTGGGATACGAAGCGGCTGCGCGCAGCTTAAAGCTATTGCTGCTGAACAGCCCACATGGCACCTGTTTCCTTTGGCATCATGCCACGCTGTAGTTTCTGTCGCCAATCATGAGCCAAAAGGCTGACTGTCTCGATCAGAGTGCAAAAAATCTTCGCTACAGCACGCGGCAAAGAAATTCGCCCCTTCAACTCATGCTCCACAAAGCTTCGAAGGGTCAGTCTTTGTTCTGCTCATTGCGCCCACGCATTTTTTGAAGCCGTGTTTGGGCAACCTTGGCCCAATCTCCTTTATCAGCGTCCTCTTGCGACCCACCGAATCATCGAACACGTGGCCATAGGAAGGATCGCCTTCAAGTCTCCTCAAATCTTCAAAATTCGCTGGATTCAGGGACTAGTTTTCTGTGGTGTGTAGTGCAATGAGTGCTAACATCTCTCCTCCGAGTGCCAAGCGGTACTCACCAAAGTGCTCATTCAGAAGTCGTCTCCACGTTGGCATACTCAGTTTCTTGCAGGTCTGGTTCCATGTCAAAGATGCTGCTTGGCAGTGCCAGGAGCAACATTGCCGGACATCTTGAGCGCCGCCGTTCCGCTTGACCTCCTCACTTTGCTGCACAGTACTTTGCTTCCAGGTCGTCAACGCTGAAACCAATGACCACTCAAATTCTCATGTCCTTTCTCTCTTTGTCTTTGTTCTTCTGCCGATGCAACTCGTGTGCAGCCGCTTCTGCGGAGTGGCTACCCGGATAATCTCGAAAGTAGCTGCTGAAGAGCCACCAGGGAAAGGTTCGGAAACGGAAAGAGATGGGAAGAAGGAATGTGCTCGCATCAGGCTGGAGTTTCGCTTCTGGCCTCATGTGACTCACTTGCACGTCTGCCTCTTTCATGCTCTTCAAGGTCTTGCTCAGACCTGTGGTGAACTTCCAGGCGCCCATGATATACGCACAGCAATGGTGAGAAGCTCTTTTGTACCCAGCTGAAGTGATGCTTTCCATGTCCTGCGCTGGCATTACGCCATGTAGAGCCAACCTTTCAGACAAGACACCAAAAATCAGAAGTGGGGCAGAACAAATCGATGCAAGGAGTGGTGAAACAAAAGAGCTCTCTGGAAACGGCAGGTGTCACAAGCAGCCTGGGTGGCATACAGGTAGAGTAAATGAGCTCCTTAAACTTTCCATGTAGAGTCTGATCTGTGAAACATGGAAATGCCCCAGGCTCTCTTGACAGCCAAAACGGCTGTGTCGCACAGTCACACAAACAAAGATGGATAAGGTTTGTATCCTCTCTCTCTCTCTCTGCGTCAAGTCCTGTTTCTAAGGACCTTTGACACCACTAACTACCTTTAACAGTACAGATATCGCAGGGGGGGCAATGAACACTTTGGAAGGCACTGCCCAACGAAGACCTTTCTATTGCGTTGTGATATGACTTTGGGACGCCAAAGTTACGTACCTGCAAGGAAGTTCTTTTATCCAGTTCTTCACGTCTCACCTTTGTTCAAACAATACTGTTGCCGCGGACTCATTCATTTTTCCGCTCCTTCAGCCAAGGTCTAATTGCATTAAAGGTCTAATTGCATTGCAGTAACGCTGGAATTTCCAAACTGATTTAGCTGTTGCGAGCATGCTTATCGTTCTGCTCGACATTGCTGCTATCATGCTGTAGAGCCTCCTGATTTTTGACACAGAATGACATGCCACGCTGCTAAGTATTCACATGCGTTCCAATTTTGAGTCAAACTGAGTCATTCATGCACGGTCTTGCTTTCTCTCCTTCCTAGGTTTTCTCTTTCTAGGTCTTTTGTCGTTGCTAGAGGCTTGTTAGGTTGCAGGTTAAAGTTTTTTGCCAAGGGAGCGCCGGATTTAGACGACCCCCCCACACACACCCCCACATCCCCTTTCTCTATTTGCTTTCTTTCGTTTGTTAGGTCTTTTCTTGAGGCTTGTTCGGTTGCTGTTTAGTTTAGCCTTGTTTAGTCGATCGATCCACACCACCCGCCCCGCCCCCCGCTTTCGTTCTTTCCTGCTTTCGTTTCTCTTTCTAGACTTCTGTCTTGTCTAGAGGCGTTTTAGGTCGGTAATGAGGCTTTTGGTCATGTGCCTGTGCGTTCCCGCCGACTTTTATCGTGTGCGCCGATAACGGCTCATTGTGTGTGTGTGTGTGTCAAGTCCTGTTTCTAAGGACCTCTGACACCACTAACTACCTTTAACAGTACAGATAGCGCAGGGGGGGCAATGAACACTTTGGGAGGCATTGCCCAACGAAGACCTTTCCATTGTGTGACGCCAAAGTTACGTACCTGCAAGGAAGTTCTTTTATCCAGTTCTTCACGTCTCACCTTTGTTCAAAGAATACTCTTGCCGTGGACTCATTCACCTTTCCGTTCCCTCAGCCAAGGTCTACTTGCATTAAAGGTCTAATGATGCAGTAACGCTGGAGTTTCCAAACTGACTTAGCTCTTGCGAGCATATATCTAAGTGTGTGTGTGTGTGTGCGTGTTCGATTGTGTCGGTCCAACTCAGTTAATGAAGCTTTTTTGTCCACAAGTTATTCGTTCATGCCTCAACAAGCTTGACTACGAGTACATGCATGTTTCCTTTGTTGATCTTGCAAGGAACATTTTACCTAATGGTCCAATAGTATTTTAACCCAGCACCAAACCTAGGAAGCTGTGCGAACCTTCCTTACTTAATACACAAGACCATTTTTTCCAACTCACTTGGTTTTTGAAGCCGAGTTTTCCTGCAGGATGCCATTATAGGTCGGCCACTCCCCCACCGCCTCCGCGAGAGCCAGGCTGTGCAGCACCTCTCGGAAGGGAGGTGGGCGTGTCTCCAAGCTCCAAGAGACCAATGTATCTTCACATTTGGCATTATGAGGGTGCATTTGTATTGAAATAGGGAGACCTTCTAAAGTTTCTAAGGAAGATCAAACATTCACTAAAGACCTATTGGATAGTCGGTTGGTATAAAAATATGCGCTCGTATCATCACTGCACAAAGAAGCCACAGGATGATATGTCTTTCGGACGGTGTGGCCCTGAAACAACGACCAACGATTCAGAATCTCATTGAGTCTGAGTCTTTGCTGTCAGCCCCTAGTATATACAGAACAATTATATACTCGCATAAAGCATAAAGCAATGATATGCAATGATGCAATATGATGCAATAGCTTACCAAAATGAAAGGAGCGTGCTTTTGCAAGGTTTCCAGCAACATCTTGAAGCAATTCAGCTCATATGGCAGCCCATATGTCATGTGTCCCATAGCCATAGCCCCCTACCGCCCGCGTCCGGCCGTCGTGGCCGCCATGTAGCCAGTGGCAACGCTTGTCAAAGACGGTGCTTGGTGGACCTTCGGAGCTGGTGGACATCCCGTGGCTGGTTCGGGTGTGAGACATTTGGCCGCTTTGGGCAACGAAACGAGAGATGGTCTAGAGAAGAAAAAGATAAGAACATATTTTCAACACCTTCGGGTCCTACCTCCATGTATCTCTCTGCATCTGCTAAGTATTCTATTTGTCTCGGCTCATCCGCAACTGGAGAGGTACTTCTGCCCTTAGATGCCCTGAGTCACCTCACCCGGTCCAGTTTTCGGCGCTTTTCCGGGTCCGATTGACTCCCGCAGCCGCCTCCTGCAATGCTTCGAGCAGCACCTGGCAGATCGGACGGTTCGAGGCGCGGATGCTGCCGGTGACCCCAGAAAAGAGCTTCGCCTCATCGTCTCATGCCTCTTTTCCCTTCACTTCACGGAACTGACGCTTTCAGGGACCAATCGCCGCACTGAGACTGGGAGCTGGCGAGCTCCGCTCCCAGACTCCCAGCGCCCTTGAACCCTTGGGCGCCTGCGTGACGTGGGTGTCGATCTTCTGGTCATGAGCCACGAAATGCAATGGCAGGTCCTGCCTCATTGCAGCTGAGGGGTTGTTGGTCTATCTCATCATAGGAGCAGAACACGTCCGCCCGAGGAATCCGATGGTGGAATTCAGTCCATTTTGCTTGCTTTGGTATCCAGCTCGTTCTTAAGGTTTTTAATTGATGGTTTCTAGATTCAGAATGTTCTAGATGTCTCGTTCGCACCACCTCCTACCAATAAAATGCCAACGGTGCTGCACACGTCTCTATACAAGCGCCTGGGGGTCATCGTTCCGTTACTGGGGGCATGGGGTTCGTCTGCACCGATCACATAAGAATGAGTCTCAGCATCGGGCAGCAAGTGGAGTCTCACCTCAATCGCTTTGAGACCTTGGTCATGGGTAAATAGATCAACCATGATCAAACAAATCTCTTGGCTGTGATCATTGCCCACTCTGATGCTATGTGAAGTCCTGACAAACAGAATCCCCGAGCCACGGACGATCTTGGATTGCCTCATCTAGAGGCCACAGCATGCCACTTTGGGCCAAAATACCTTGGTTCTCCCCAGAACACCCGGCGCAAGGGAACTGGGTTTCATTTATCCTCTACTTGTCCTATGCCAAGTGCGTCTTTGTGGGTCTCCCTGCTCTACTGCTCGCGAGACACCCATCCCCAGGCGTTTGGAGCTGAGACGACCAAATGCGGCTGAGACTAAATGACCAAATGTCGCTTCCTGGATTATAATTTTCCTCCACGAACAGGTGGTTCTCCACTTCCGTGATTATTTCAGGAGGTGTAGTATAATTGAGAGATTCAAGAGAATCTCTCAATCCACCAACTGAAGACAATCCAACATGATATTGACAGGAGCACAATGCTGCTTGCGTTTCAGCCATGAGTCATTGAAGGATGAATCTAAAGCAAGGCAAAGTCTGAAACATGGACAGTTACACAACATACATCCAATTGGCCGGACTTCAAATCAAGCCATTTCTGATATATATATATTAGTCCAAATTCTGGCCTCTTTGTCTGTGGCCAGGGTACTGCTATGCCCGCTGGGCATGTAAATACAGCTGGGGCCATGTAACTAATCATGTAAATAGAGTGGTGGGTTAGCTGGTGACATGTAACCACTGTAGCAAACTGTTACTATTGGTTACTATACTGGACTATACTGTGGACTATGCTAGACTATACTACTATTGTTAAACCACTCGCTCATGTAACAAATTATCTCATACAGCACCACTGCACCGACTGCACCACTCACAAACACACACGCACACAGTGTTCCAGCTTTAGGGTGTCATTTTGGACCTTCTTGCTCAAACCACAACCAAAGGCAAGTTGAACATTATTGCTCGCACTGTTTTCCAAATGCGGATCAAGAGGACAGTCAGTCCTGTCACGTAGATCCATAGATCCCAAACTCCAAAATCCTATAGCCTATAGCCGCCAAACCCGCAGTGAATGCACAGGAAGCGAAAAAGGGAAAATTCTGAGAACAGGGAAACATAAACAGTAAAAATCAATGTACCTCATCAATACAAAACACTTGCAACATGTCAATTCTAGGCAATACAGTAGTAGTAGTAGTAGCAGTAGTGTAATGTAACCATGTATGCATTGGCTTGCTGTATTGTTGACTAATTGATGAATTGACACCAAAGCTGGGCTAGGCTAAACAAATGTTAGAGCCCACTGTGCATCTGCAGGATCCTAATTTGCACATCGCAAATCTTACAAAATTCGGGAGCCGCGGGAGACTGGTGAAAATCTAACAAATCACTTCGCGCTCTTCTCCTTCTTGGCCTTCTTCAACTTCTCACCCCCGTCAGCTTCCTTTGGCGCCGGTTTGGCCCTCTTTGGCTTAGGAGCAGCCTTCGCCTCTTCGGTTGGAGCTGCGTTGCCTCGCTTCTTGCCAACCGGCTTGCCACTTCCCATGTCTGCCACCATTTTGCCGAGCTTCCCTGGCAAGTCAGCTTGTGTCACACCAAAGTCATGGCGGCAAAGCTGCAGAGCTTCGTCCACACTCGCCTTCACACTGTCAGCACTCTCAGTCAAAATGCAGGCAGCCACAATGAGTGTGAAAGCCGTTTTTCCAACTGACCTTTTCGTGGCACTAGCCTGTTTGATGAAAGTGTGGGCCTTTCCAATCAGGCGCTTCATCTCTTCATTGGTTGATGAATGGCCAATCAGGTCCTTCAGTGACTCACACAGCTTGATCACGTTGTCATAGGAGGCTTGCAGCTGCTCGATGTCGCTCTTCGCATCGAGGTTGGCCTCTTCCTCAAAAAGTCCCTGCACTGGTTCCATCTGCCAAGTCTCAGCGCATGTCACGACCTGCTGATACTTGTCATCAAATTTCTTCAAATCACTCAGCACGGATTCTCCAAGGTCAGTCAGCGCTGTTTCAGTGATCTGCAGAAAGGACGTGACATATTTCTGGCAGATGTCCTTGGCTTCTGAAAACATGGGGTCATCCATCAGAGGACTTGCCACAGCCAGGGAAAAAGACTCGAAAAAGCCAATCTTGGAAGCAATGAAGGTCAGGTCGAGCTCTTGGTCCTCCAAATCCTTGAGCTCCTTGGGCACAAGCTGCCAAGTGGTCATTGCATGGGCGACTGCTGAGTGATCTTTCGGTAAGAGCTTCTCGACATCCACATTCACATCATCATGGTTGTGGTCCATGATATGCTGAAGGATCTTCATTGAAGTCACGTGCTCCAACCTCTTCAGCATTTGCCCAATTGCCCCAAAGGCCAATGCAGGCTCTGAGCCCATCTGCTTCTGAGGTACTGCACCCTTGATGAAGGCATTGCCAAAGCGCTCCACAACCCTCCGAAAGAGCTCATTCTCTGCTGGAATAGTCTTTGGGCCCAGGTCTTGTTGGGCAGGGACAACAGCAGAAGATGTATCTTCCTTGGACTCACTGGAAAGGATGAAGAAGGATGCAAAGTTTGCCAAATGGTGGCCAACATAGGAGCCTGCAATGTCCGACTCATCGCCAACAGTGCCATGGATCAAGCCTGGGGGCACACTACAACACAAACAGAACTGCTGCATTCAATCAAATCGACGAATCTGCTTTTTGATGTAGTTATGTGGTAATGTGAAATGTGATAATTATATGATATGTCATGTCAATGCCAATGTCACTGAATTGTGAATAGCCAAATTGTTGATCTACTGATGCATAGTCACGATCAATTTTTCTGAATATTGCTTGCCAGACTTTAGACTTACTGACTATATATTAATCTATATTTGTTGCAGCTGTAGTTATAGACATAAGCTGTAAAACATAGACATAGGCTGTAGACTCATGACTCATAGACAATCATAGACATAGAGTCATAGACTATCATAGACTTAGAACTTATACTGATACTGTAGTATAGTCACTGGCAGACTTAACTAAGAATAGACCAATGGACCGTAGACTTATAGAACCATATAACTTTCTTAAATATAGACTGATGACTGATGACTAATAATATCATAATAAGATCGACTGGACTTGGGATATAGAAAAATTAGACGATAGACGATAGACAAACAGGCCATGGTCCTGAACCCCATGCAGTTGTTTGCCGTTATTTCTCTTGGTGCTCCACTCAAAGAATCACAAATTACATCAATGTAAACTGCAGCCATTTCAAATATGCCAAAATACCAATAGATCAACAGTATATAACAGTATATAAAATCATGTGACCATGGCCATTGCCATGATTGAACATAGCAACACAACACAACTTAACATAACGCAACCCGAACGCTACAAGAGTGAGGCTTTGGTGCAAATACACAAACAGCCACAGCCGCGGTGTCTGAGAGTCAACACCAGAACTAGTGCAGCCAAGTCACTACGAAGCCAGAATTGAACGCCAGCGCACTGTGGCAGCTTCAAGCTCTCCGTCGGGCAGGCATCGGCAGCAGCTTTGCAGTCTTTGCCCTCAATGCCCTTTGGAATGATGGCATCAGCCCACGCCTGAATTTCCTCCAATGTCTTGGTGAATTCCGGGCACAAAGTGTCCATCCAGCTGAGCAAATCATTGCGAGCCCTGATGAGCTTCTCAAGCGCTTGCTCTGCACCTGGCACACTTGCCTTCGCAGCTGCGAGCTGCTTGGTCAGGTCCCGCATGGAAGCTAGGGAACCCACGTCCTTCTTGAGCTTCTCAATGTCGGCTGGCGCCGTCCCCAAGGTTGCAGGATCAACCTTCCTCAAATTCTCAACAAGGGCCACAATGTTGTCCGCAGCCTTGACTGTCAAAGCAGTCGCTGCTGTCTCCCTGAACGCTGACAACACCTGGCTCCACAAGGACCTGCAGGGAATTTCAAAAGTAATGAGCAAAGCGCACTGTAAAGAGACAACAAGGTGGCAACAGCACAAGGAAACAATTTGAAACTGGTACAACAGTGGTAGCAATTTACAATAATCAAACAGTAAAAAGTCAAAAGTTGTATGGCAGCAAGTAAACAAGTGAATATGTTTGTGGGCTACTGTCCAGCAAGTGACAATGACTTAGTTCATCGTGCCATTAGTATGGTCAAATTTTCAGAATCCAAGTCTTCCTTTTCTTCTACCGTCTTCTCTGTGTACTGCTGACTCCGGACAGTTGAACGGACTTGAAATTAAATCCCTTGGTCCCTGGGAGTCAACAATACTGATTTGACTGATTGATATTATCAATTTGTTGCCAACATTGCCAATGCCAATGTGGCCGCCAATGTGCTCGATTTGCAATTTACGGGGGATGTCCAGGAAGGCTATGCTGTTTGCTGCTCACGGTCGTTGAAAAGGATTGCTGGGTAGTGCGCGCTACTAACATATACAGTAAATATATACTGATACTGGTACTTATGTATCGTGTAACTATGTATGTATTGTATTACTATACCCTGAAGATCCTGTAAGCTTTAGAAAGTGGCTGGTAGCTGAGTTTTGTGGCTTCTGAACATGTTGGAAGTTAGGTTTGAGAAACAAGGGTTCTTGCCTAGCAGATCAAAAACCTAGCTTCTTTGAAGGTTCTTGATGCTCTAGCAGCTTTGAAAACTAGCTTCCAGCTTTTTGCATGCAAAAAAGCAAGAAGCACTGCTTTGAAGGTCAAAGAAGCACTTCTCAGAAGCACTTCTTGGATTCCAAGAAGCTCTTCTTGGATATACTGTATGTACAATATGCTAAAGCCAGCAAAGCAAGCAAAGCACAGCTTTCTTCATTCCATTGCCATGGCAGCAGTTTTGCCTGTGGAGCCTGAGCAAGGCACTTACCAGAAAGAGATTGCTATTGTGAGGGCACACCTGGAGACTTGTGACCCCCAAAGCTGGAGTGCTGACCCTGAGCAAGCCTGTGTAAGGCACAGAATCTTTTTAAGTGTCTTCCTGAAAAGAGATTTGAAAAAGACTCAGGTGAAAGAAATATTTTTTGGAGCCTGCAAAAGGCTGCAGCAAAGCGAGGCCAAAATGATTGCAAACTGTATCCATGAAGTGAAGAAATGGCTGGTCAAAAAATGGAAAAATTTGAAGACTGGAGAGAAGACACATCCA